TCTGATTCTTTAAAAAAAAAGAGATTGAAGGTGACCATTAACAATTTATAACCAACTCATTTTAAATGAAAACAAACATTTATAAACAATAATTTTTAGAAATTTGGATGTAGTTTTCTCCAAACTGTTACTGACTTTATATTGGGCCAAGGATTTTGGGGGTTCATGGAGAACTTTCAGGGGGTCTTGCTCCATCAAACCACATTAGCCTGGAAGGAATCCATTGGTTCTCATCTTTGGTGGAAACAAAAGCAGAACCTCTTTTCCAATGCAAAATATTCTTAGACTAAATTTTGAAGTCAAGATATTGCCCCCAGAATCAAATGTCTCTCTACAGACAAAAAATTCAAAGAAAGCACAATAATATACATAATCCAGACTCTCTGTGTATATTCCATCCTTACATGGCTGATTTTTATTTATTCCTTTAATTTATAACTGTCTTTACTCTTTTTGTTTTTTGATTTGGTTTGGTTTTTTGAGGCAAGGTTTTGCTATAGCTATGCAGCCTGTCCTGAAACTAGCTCTTGTAGATCAGGCTGACCTTGAACTCACAGAGATCCACCTGCCTCTGTCTGCCAAGTGCTGGGATTAAGGGCGTGCACCACCACTGCCTGAGTGTCTGTACTATTTTTACTGTCTTTTTAAAGGCTTTGTTTTATTTTTAAAGATATTTCCTTATATAACTGTCTATACCCATTTTCTTTTTTTTAAAGCTGATGTACATTTTTAAAGCATATTATGACCCATCTAAAGGGTCTGTAGAAGATAATTTGATCCTGCATTTTGGTGGTTTCAGACAGGACTTATTCCTTTGATCCAGTGACTTAATTTCTAAGTTTTATTATAAAGAAAAACAAGAGATGTACATGGGGTTTTTAAATTTCTTATTTTGACTTACATGTATGTGTATGTGTCTATCTGTCTGTCTCTGTGTGCACCATGTGCACATAGGCCATGAAGGCCAGAAAAAAGGTACTGTTTCTTTTGAAACTGGAGTTACAGGTAGCTGTGAGTCACTACATGTGGGCACTGGGAACAGAATTCTGGTTCTTAGCAAGGCAAGTAAATGTTCTTAACCAATGAGCCATCTCTCTAGACTGTGCATGAGAATTTTCCTTATGAGTACTCAACTTTATCTTTACATATTGACTTAGTTACTGTTCTATTGCTGTGAAGAGATACCATGGCCAAAGCAACTTATAAAAGAAAGTATTTAATTGGAGACTTACTTACAGTTTCAGAGGGTTAGTCCATGGTCATTGTCATAGAAAGCATGGTGGTAGGCAGGCAAACATGGTACTAGAGAAGTAACTGAGAGCTTACATCCTGATCCCCAGACAGGAGACAGAGAGGAAGATTTGGCATAGCATGGGCTTTTGAAACCTTGAAATCTACCCCCAGTGACACACATCCTCCCAATCATTCCTAAACCATCTGTGAACTGGAAACCAAATATTAAAAAAATGTGACTCTTTCTTAAAATATGTTTCTCTCAATCTCTCTCTCTCTCTCTCTCTCTCTCTCTCTCTCTCTCTCTCTCTGTGTGTGTGTATTCTGAGGAATGACACCCAAAGATGACCTTTATCCTCCAAATACACACACACAAACACAGATCTATCTATCTATCTATCTATCTATCTATCTATCTATCTATCTATCTATCTATTGATCTATATATGTATTGATATATATATGTAGAGAGAGAGAGAATGGTAATAGACACAAAAATTAGTAGCATTATAGTCTGGTAAAGTTTTCTCTTCTTCACTTTTCAGCATATTCTAAATCTTTATGATTAATATATTTTCCATCCACACAAAGGAATGCACATTACAGCAAAGTTATGTACATTGGAAAATTAGGGGCACATTATGAGATTTGCATTTCAACATGAATATGGTTGAAATGGTTCCTTCAGCATCTCCTGGAAAGTAAAAATTTATCAAGCAAAAACATTTTTGTGGGAGTTGGGTCCATGTTCCTGGGTCGGCTGCTGGGTGTGATTGTCGCTGAGCTGGAGCTATGTTTTGCAGCCAGTATGACAATGATGTCACCCTTTGGAGCCCTCAGGGTGGGATTCATCAGATTGAATATGCAATGGAATCTGTTAAACAGGGTTCTGCCACAGTTGGTCTGAAGTCAAAAACACATGCAGTGTTGGTTGCATTGAAGAGGGCACAGTCAGAACTTGCAGCTCACCAGAAGAAAATTCTCCATGTTGATAACCATATTGGTATCTTGATTGTGAATCTGACTGTTGATGCTCAACTGTTATGTAATTTTAAGCACCAGGAGTGTTTGGATTCCAGATTTGTATTTGACAGACCACTTCCTGTGTCTCGCCTTGTGTCTCTAATTGGAAGCAAGACCCAGATCCCAACACAGCGCTATGGCCAGAGACCATACGGTGTTGGATTGCTTATTGCTGGTTATGATGATATGGGCCCTCACAGTTTCCAAACTTGTCCGTCCGCCAACTATTTTGACTGCAGAGCCATGTCTATTGGAGCCTGTTCTCAATCAGCTCGGACTTACCTGGAGAGACATATGCCTGAATTTATGGAGTGCAATTTGGATGAGCTGGTTAAACATGGTCTGCGTGCCTTAAGAGAAACATTCCTTGCAGAGCAGGACCTGACCACAAAGAATGTTTCCATTGGAATTGTTGGTAAAGACTTGGAGTTTGCAATCTATGATGATGATGATGTGTCTTTTTTCCTGGGTGGTCTTGAAGAAAGACAACAGAGAAAAGCACAGCCATCACAGGCTGCTGATGAGCCTGCAGAAAAAGCAGATGAACCAATGGAGCGCTAAGTGATAAAGCATACAGGGCTTTGAGGACGGAGGGACATACGCTGGTGCAATAGTCTGCCCTCAGAACCAACATCTGCAGAGCATGGGGTGGGAGGTTTTAGGAATCAGTCCAGATGTGAGTTTTCTCTGAGCAGCTTCACAGAAATCATATAATGGGTGCATTTTCTTTGAAAGGGTCTACATAATCATTTTCTAGAAAGTATAGGTATCTATCCCAATGTTTTTATATGAAGAAAATAGTGTCTTTGCAGTTTTAAAGACAACTGTGAAATAAAATTGTTTCATCTCCTCCCCCCCCCCTCAAAAAACCACTTTTGTACAATAAAAATTCTTTATTGTATAGCACCAGTTTAAATGACAATGTGGACAGGGGAAATGCACAAGGTCCCACCCCCAAGATGAAAAACTACAGGTTATCAATGGTTACTGAGAGAGGGAGAAACAGTTAACTCCAGGCATAAGTTTCCACACATTCTGTCCAATCCTATTGCTAACCCAGGACACATGTAATACAAGCAACACTGAATGAACTCAGTAGGTTGTGTACACACACACACACACACACACACACACACCAAAAACAAAGACAAAGAAGCTGTGAATTTGGGAGGGAGGGGGTACACAGGAAGATAATGGTGAGAGAGAAAGGAGCAAGAGTAATATAGACGTTTCATTCATGTATGAAGTCCTCAGTAAAGAAATGGATTGCAAAAGGCTTTGTTTAAGATGACTGTTCATCACTTTGGATCCTAGGTACTGCTTTATGGCTTACTGCCTCCTGAGATCTCTGGGACAGACTGAGTTCTAGGCAATATTAGCCATCAGGCTCTGAGAGGTGGTTGATTTCCTCTCCTGGAGCCTTCTTCTTAGCCTTCCTCAGCCAGGTGTCCTCTCAGGTCCCTAATGTTCCAGAACCTCCTCAGGGTGACTCGGTATTTTTGGGCTTACCATTTTCTCAAGTTCTGTGAACATAGCTATTTATAGGGCAGTGCTGTGAATCTCATTGGTTTCTCAGCATGGGAAGCACCATGCTAGGACTTGGGAAGACACGGAGACTTGTCACATAGCTCAGTTCTCACTGCAAAGCAACTGTGAAAAGGCTCAGCTTCTGCGGGGAATTGCTCTGGTCACCAGTTACAGACTCAAAAGCATGTCAATTAGATTCCCTTGCATCAGATGTGCCCGAGAAAGATACTGAATTTCATAATGTATTTATTTCTTTTATTATCAAAGAGTTTGTCGTGATTTGTTAAAGCGATAAACATGGAAAGAGAGAGTGGAAGGAAAAACGATCTCCTCACAAGAATCCTGGTGAAAGTCTCTCAAGAACACAGATGCTGCCTTAGGGCCCCAACTTTGCTCTAACACAGTAGCTCCTCTATTCTAAGGTGATGGGATCCCATCTAGTCCATGAAAATGAAGGGCATCTCCACCCCAACCTGTAACATGAAGGCAGGGTCTGTTTGTTTGTGTTTTCTGTCCTGCCCAGTACCCCACAACTGTTTAGCCTCAAAGAAAATCACACATAGATCTCTGTAAGTTATAAGCTGATTGTCCCATTAGCTCTAGCCTCTCACTGGCTAACTCTCACATTTTGATTAAACCATTTTTCTGATCTATGTCAACCATGTGGCTCAGTACCTTTTTTCAGTGGGGCAGATCACATCCTGCTGCTTTGGTGATCTGGACAGGAGTGGGAGGAACCAACTTCTCCTTCCTAGAATTCTCCTGTTCTCCTTACATCATTTCCTACTTCCTGTCTGGTTTCGCTGCCTATATTTTCTGCCTGGCCAATCAGTGTTTATTTATAACATGATTGACAGAATACAGAGAATCCCCCCCCCCCACCACCACCACCAACCTACTGAATCAGAAACCAGGAGCACAGAGGAAGGGGTGCAAACATGAGGGTGTGTTTTATCCAACCCTCTGGGTGTTCAGGTTGTACTTCAAAAGTTAAGATCCATCAGCAGCATCCTAAGGTCAAAGACACACTGTTAGGCAATTAAAATATTGTTACAATGGCTGGACAGAGAGTTGGCTCAGGGGTTAAGAGCACTTGATGCTCTTACAGAGGACCAGAATTCAGTTTCAGGCACACACATGGTACCTAACAACCATCTGCAACTTCAGTTCCAGGGGATACAACATCCTCTTCTGATCTCTGAGGGAACCAGACTCCCACGTGTGGTGGTGCATAAATGTACATGCGAGCAGAACACTCATGCACATAAAATAAATAACTCTAAATAACTTAAAATATTGTTGAATTCAAGGAGTAGAACAACACATTCTATTCAATTTTCTTTCCTCTGGCCCAGATCCAGTCAAGGGTCACCTCCTGTGTTTCACTGTCATACTAACTGCTTTAGCCAGGTGTGAAACATCTGGAGGCTGATGGCACTGCCAGCAACACATCGGTGGCGATACCTCCTAGTTTCAGAGAGGGCAAACTATCTGTTGAGGAACTCTGCTAGTTGGGTTTTGTTGTTGTTGTTTCAACTGAATGAGAAGAGCATCATCTGGGAAAAGGCAACATCAATGGAAAAAAAAGACTTTATCAGAAGGGTCTATGGGCAAGTCTGTGAGGCATTTTCTTGATTAATGACTGATGTGGAAGGGCCAAGCTCACAGAGGGCTGCTAGCCCTGGGCAGGTGGTCCGGGGTATAAGCAAGCAAACTGAACAAGTAAGAAGAGCTTGCAGTAAGAAATTTTCCTCCATGGTTTCTGCTTCAGTTCCTGCCTCAAGGTTCCTGCCGCCTTGAATTTCTGCCTGGACTTCCCTTTGGTATGAACTACAGCTTTGCTGAAATGAGCCCACTTTTCAAGTTGCTTTTTGTCTATGTCTTTGTCCCAGCAATAGAAAGCAGACTGGGGCATGAGCAGAGCCAGAAAGTTAGAACAAGACTTTGTCCTGGACTCAGTAATGTTACCTCCTACCCCTGACACACAAATAGGAACTTAAGGTGCTTAGATCTGGGTTGGAGCTCACATGTGGTTTCTAGACCTGGCATTGAAGTCAGATACAACAGATATCTATAGAATACTCCCTCCAACAACTGTATAACAAGCATTCCTCACAGCCTGTGGGATAATCTCCAGAATAAACCATATAAGAAACAACTAAATAAGTCTTAATATTTTTTTAAAAATTAATATTATATTGAGTATCTTTCCTGATCACAATGCAAAATATTCTATAAACTGGCAATAATAAAACTCTGGAAAATATAAACATGATGCATGGAGAGTGGGCCCTTGTTCTGTCCTGGCAACCCAGCTAGCTTACACCTGAAATAACCACACAGAAACTGTATTAATTAAATCACTGCCTGGCCCATTATCTCTAGCCTCTTATTGGTTAACTCTCACATCTTGATTTAACCCATTTCTATTAATCTGTACATCACCATGAGGTCGTGGCTTACTGGGAAAGATTTAGCATATCTGATTCTGGTGGCTCCATGACAGTTCTCTCGACTCTGCTTTCTTTCTCCCAGGATTCAGTTCTGTCTTCTCCGCCTACCTAAGTTCTGCCCTATCAACTAGGCCAAGGCAATTTCTTTATTCATTATCCAATGAAAGCAACACACAAACAGAAGGAACTCCTACACCATAAACATACACGGGCATTAAATAACAATGATGGATCAAGGAAGAATTCAAGAAGAAATTTTTAGTTTTTACATAAAGGAAAACAGAGACACAGTTCCAAAACCTATGGGTTCCTTTAAAAGTTCCAATGTAACAATAAATCCAACATAGAAGCAGAAAGATCTCCAACAAACAACTTCAAAGAACTAGGAAATCCAAAGTTAATCAACTCAAAATATGTAAGACAAAAAGAGATGACTATAGTCAGAGATGGCAAGACGTTATAAGTTAGGTGACAGAAATTCAGAGAACAGTTTAAGGTTATGGTGTTCAACTCTAGCCTGACAGATCTGATAACTTAGAAAAAAGGGCCCTACATCAGCCCATCTTAGTAGGGTAGAGTTGTGAAGAACTAGAACAGAGGAGCAGACTAATGGTTCTAGAACCCTTGTCTCCCCTACAGCATGCTATCAGACATCTAATGAAACAGCAATTCTGAGGGGAGGATGCTTCCCAAGCTTTTCCCATAAGGCTGGCATTGCCCTGATACCCAAAGCGGGCAAAGATTAAACAACAGCAACAAAGAGTTGTCCTTGAAGAACATAGATGCAAAAATCCTTAAAAACACTGCAAACTGAAACCAACAGTACAATAAAACTGCTGTGTGCTATGATCGCGTGTGTTTCATCCTGGGGTGGGGAGGATGGTGCAGCACATAACATTTGATAAGCCTGATGCACAGCACAGCAGTCGTCTCAACACAAGGAGGAAGGTAGTGGATGAAATTCAGCATCCCGGGCGTAGGCCCAGGCGGGGCGGCAGACCACTGGCGCAAGCGGCGGCAGACAGCGGGGACCAGCGCCGAGAGCAGATCGCCCCACTACAATTAAAGCAAAGAGGTAGACCTTTGGTTGTCGAGATCCCTGGCAAGGAAGGAGCCAGGTCCTGTTCCTGAAGACCCTTCGGAGGGGCGAGAGGGAACTTGGCCCCTGGCAGGAGCCAGGAAACAGAGCGACAGCATTTTGTAAGAGGAGCCCCTGGCCAACAGGGAAACCTGATCCGGTTTTAAAAGACCCATTAGATAGCTTCGATAGGAGGAGATGGGCAGGCGCCAAGGCAAGAATTCACCCAATAATCAGAAAAACAACATGAAAACACCAGAACCCAATGATCTTACAACAGATG